GAAGAATATTGTTCTTCATGTCTTCTCATCCATTTCTCACCATCCTTGAAAAAAAAGAGTAACCACAAAAGGATCAAACCATGGCAAATTGTGGTGGCCTAGAACAACACATGATGAACCTTGACACCTCATTGTGCCAGAAAAGTCCATCTCAAAAACAAAAAATCAGCCCCATCAACACCTTTGACATGGAAACCTTCTCCCAAATCAATCATCTCCGCACTTTCTCCGATTCCTCGTTTTTGAAAAACTCATCGACCGATACAAACGCCACGCGGGATTTTGGATTCAGTGGAAGCCTCCCGCCACATCATCACATTCCACACGGGAAGCACAAGAAGCATTACACGCACAGCGACAGCTTCTCGTCCGTGAATTCGGATAATCATTCGACATGCACAGAGGGGCTGGGGCTCGAGAGCTTCAATGACGTCGATGAGTTTTTCAAAAACGAAATCTTTAGAAATAATAATAACAATAATCGCAATAGGCAATTGCGAGAGAAACGAAGTCTCACGAGAAAAGAGTTGAAAAGATCGAGAAGTTGCGGGATGGGCGAACTCCCACCTCCAATCTCTTGTATAGGAAAATGTGGGAAGCCATTTGTGAGCTTCAAGTCATTCAGGCAAGACGGGAGGTTCATTCTTAAGGAGATAAAGATCCCGGAATTACTGCACGTGTGCCGTGAAAATGGACGGTTGAAATTGCAGTTTATCCAGTCTGATGACGATGATGAAGGTGGTGAAGAAGAAGATGATGATGATGATGATGATAATGAAGGTATTGATGAAGATGGGAAAGAGAAAAATGTGGAGAAGATATAGGGAAAGAGAAAATGATGATGAAGGGTGATTGAGAGAGAGGGGGTTGGTAAAAGATATTGAGAAGGGCAAGTGAATAATACAAAAAGATCAAAGATAATGTGTAAAGTATGGAGTGGTCTGAAGTCACCAACAAGTTTCATCCCAGAATGTATTTACTAGGAAAAGGGGAAAAAAATGTCTCATGGGTAGTTCATAATATCTAAGTAGGAAAAAATTCTAGTTATTGTACACAAGTTTTTTAAATAGCACACTTTCAGATATGTTTCTCCTCTAAATGCAAATAAGACTAAAAGAGGATGAAGCTATTTGAGATTGGGCCCA